TCTTCGTCCAATTTCTGTAGAATATCTTTAGCTTTAACTATAGTATGTATTACAAACATTTAAACACAAACATGCTAGACAATAATGTTAATAGAATTAGCAAGAAAAGAGCTTTAAGTATTAGTTGAAACATATACATATATAAATAAAAAAATAAAGAATGTAAAATTTATACTGCTAAGACGTTCGTTGCCGTCATTTTATAAGATGATCATGTGTACGCATAAAGAAGACATAAGTAAACATACATCACACACATTCGTTGCACCAATTGTATGCACAACTAGAGGTGATATCGTAAAATATACTGCGAAAAGAAAATATTGTTATTACTCGCCATCGGTTTAGCTGATTGATATAACGCGTTATGTCTGGCGTCTGTGCGATACATCGCTTTCGCTGATGAAAGTCAAAACATTGTATAAAATATTTATTGATCAAAGTACTAAGCATTGAACGCTTAAGATGACACGCAACGCACTCGGAATCTGTGTACTTCCGTTCCATTTTATGTGGGTAAGTAACATGGGCACGTGGGATGCTACATACTCATACAACGATTACAAAGAATGGAATACGAAGAACGAATAGAATGCAAAAAACTACCCAACTGCCACCTGGACAGTGGCGAGCGCCTCAATAACTGTCAACATTCATCATAATTATGAAGTATAATAAACCCCTAAAAAACTACGGACAATTGTGTAAGGAAATAGCTTAAATACTTTGACAATTGCCGAACTGTCAAAGGACATTTTAAGAATTACAAAATACGTTCTAAAGAATGACCATGATTATAAAAAAACTGATAAATGCCAAGCAATACTGAATGATAATAAAGAAAATTACTGATCCATGGATTATATCAAATTACACCTACCGATTGCCATTAAGGTAATATCCCTTTATAATTCAAACAGAACAAAACTATCAAAATTTATGGTCAGATCCCGTTGAATAAAGAAACGAATCAAAGCGCCACGGATACGGAATAAAGGAGTGGTTTTAGGAAAAAAATGAAAAGATGTAGAGATAAAAAGAATCAACTGTACGCAGGCAACCGTATGGTACGAGGCACCCGCTGGTTTATCAAATAAGGGATTAGTACTTCGAAGTCGGGACGCTTTCTTTTATACGGGACAAATATTTTGACACGAGGCTGAGTAAATAGAGGGTGTGTGAAGGATTAAGGTCACCACTTAAACACAATTACATAGTAATCCAAGTCGTCTTGTCTTGCTCAAGCATCTTCATCTATACAGATATTATTACACTATAAATTCGAAGATATATCTGTCTTTCAGTTTCTTATCTTTTATGACTAAATGGCTGAATCGATCTCGATGAAACCTGTTATGAAAATAGATGCTATAACCGACATAGACTATCTTAAATCTCGAAAAATAAAATGTGAGAAGGACGTAAAATAATCCCCGCATACGAAATAAAGTGTAACTTCCAGTATATTACCTTTAAAAAACACTGACTACCAATCATGATAAATTTTATTTGACCTGTTGTACCTAAAAAAAGAAGAAGATAATTGTAATATTAAATTGTAATATAATAATAAATATATCTACCATGTGTGTCAAAACATAAAAATAAAAGGATAAACCTTACATTTTAAGTTAACTAACACTATATAATGGATAAGGCATACTATATAGTAAATGCATGTTGCAGTTAATTTAAATATATACGCCAATTCTGTTGTCTCACATATTATTTAATAAAATATCATGCGATTATGTGATTTATACTATGCATGCATGACCGGTACTATGACATAAATCACATAATCGCATGATATCTATACGTCTACCTTATTCAAAAACTCCTAATTCGGTAATTATAAAATTATTAGGTATGGAGGCATGACATCTTAGTCCTCCAGAATGGCAACCGCATGACCGGTAATATTACATAAATCACATAATCGCATGATATCTATACTGCTATTCATGTAGGCGACCACCACAGCCAATAAGCACAATAGACTGTTACCATGCTGTGGGGTGCTAGTTTGTTTGCCTATCCAGTTACATAAAAAAGCACAACTCCAAAATAAATGTAAATAGAGTATGGTTAGCTACTTCAGAGCGGTATGAATTCGATTTAGGATCGGATCATCAACATCATCTCAGGATCGGATGCAGTGCCCAAAAGGCCCTAAATAACAAACCCATAATAAACACACTTTTGATATCGTTCGATGCAAGCGCTATGCAGAACAAATTAACACAGATCGTCAAGTGAGTGTTTGCTTCTAACTGTGGTGCGGTCAAGTGAACGCCCAGGCAGTCGAACAGTTATACAAACAAGCATTGTGCGTCGCACTTGTGAACCAATAATGCTTTTCATTGTCGGCTAGACTTTGCTAATGCAGGTGCAAATGCGTTAATTTCAAACTTTACCTAACTTACATTCCATGACTAAATATATAAAAACGAAAAATTATTCAATTACAAACAAATAATCAAGTAGATATGCCTGAACAATAATATAATTAGTATTCAAACTATTTTTACAGTAATGACAAACTAAAGCGCTCCTTATCAGCAGATTTTAAATAGAAATAATCTATAATTAATTACAAATAAACCTAATATACCTAACTAAGCACTGTTTTTTTTTTATTCTACCATCCATTTGAAACGCACACTGTTCACAAGTAGAATGACCACTAAAACTTGTGTATTGCTCTTTTAAATAAATGTTGTTCTAAATAAATAGGTACATATTAACAAGTATTAGGCATGCGACAATTAACATAGAAACTGCTACGCACTCAATCTTTGTGCAATCAGATAATATTGTCAGCGCTATGAATGAATTTTTTTTATGCAAAAACATTATTATCATTTATAAATTGTTCGATTTCATATTTATTTAAAACAGAAAATCGTCACATTTTGTAAATCCTAAAAAAAAATTAAAGAGAAAAGAAAAATAAATAAATAAAAAGAAAATGTTTTATAAGATATTTTAATCTTTTTTTTAGCTATTTATAATTGAGAATATCCTTACGTACTTTGAAATACTTTACATAAACAGTCTTCCTCTGGTATATTTTATACGGCATGAGATGTCAAAAATCTACGAAAAGGACATATATTAATAAGACTAATTTTGAAATTTATTTGATCTGTAATGTTTATTGATGACCGTAGTAGTTTTAATAGGTCGGTAGGTTTATTATTATATTATAAAGATTACGTATATAGGTAGAGCATAAAAATTACATTAATATATTAAGTTGTTAATATATAAAAATAAGTCGCAGATAAAATATTATACATATATATTATTATACATATATATATTACCTAGTTTCTGGATTTAAATATATATATATATATTTTTAAATAAATGTTGTTCTAAATAAATAGGTACATATTAACAAGTATTGGGCATGCGACAATTAATATAGAAACTGCTACGCACTCAACCTTTGTGCAATCAGATAATATTGTCAGCGCTATGAATGAATTTTTTTTCTGCAAAAACATAAGTCGCAGATAAAATATTATACATATATATTATTATACATATATATATTAACTAGTTTCTGGATTTAAATATATATATATTTAAATCCAAACTAGTTAATAACGTCAAGAAGTATATGTAGCGACATCTATCAGACTATTCATGAGGTATTTCACAAGCGGCAAAACACAATCAAATATCAGTAGTAACTCAATAGATGGCGTTTATCAATAAAATAATATGGTCCACAATAAAATAGTATGGTACTTTTAACACTTAGACTAAATTTTTCGTCACTACATAAAAATCTGCTTATAGATTTCCAGCTTTGGAAATAATTATAATTTTGCTACATCTACCCTTGGTTAATATAATCAAGCAGGAATGGTATAATAAGATCACACACAAAATTCCTTTATAGAAAGTGGTAACTCCAAATTTATATTTACTTTCCTCTAAGTTGTAAGTATAAGCAGGTGCCCATGCCCATATTAGGTTGCTATATAATTTACATAAATCCCTAATGGATGTAGTTGTAGTAATATAACTATGTTCGTTACCGGTGTGTTGTTTACATAGCAGGTGTCACATGTTAAGCAAAACGGGTTATATTAAAAAGTTGACCTTAACCGATCGCAATATTTTGAGTGGTAAACAATGAAAGCCCAAAGGTGGACTTTCGATGAAATTTTATCTTGATCGGTTTCATACTATACTAGTTCGAAACCGATATATGTTACAAAAAGTGCAAATTTGATCTCTAAGTATGAACCGCAATTCGCGTTCTGCTAAGGTATTTTATCATTGTCACTTCATTTCATTGTTTTTGTATGTCCATAACATATAACATTTATTAAACAAAACTCTTTCGTTAGTCTGTAACTAAAGTTATGCTACAATGCAGAAAAGATATGCATCCCTGGCGCGGTGAGTATGTCCAGTACCAACAGCATACATGCAGGCAACAAGCATCATTGCAGGCAGGCAGGGCTGTAAGTATGTTAATCACTGCTATGCTATTTCCATTGGACAAGTACAGTGGTGATTTTTATATTTGTATTGTGACTATATTTTAATTGAATTTAATGTTGATTATTTTATTTTCTTATATTTTAACAAAGATTAAGCATGCCAACATAAAAAACTTATGTTTATACCTAGCTATGAACTTTATGTTGGATTTTTTTTACAGAGAAAGTGAGACCCACAAGACATTTGAATCGTTTTTCTGGCAAATTGAGACAGACTCCAGTAGTTACTTGTAAAACCTTAAGCGCATGCGGCAGCACAGGTAGGACACCATTCTATTGTCCTCCAAAATATATAATTTAAATATATTATATATAGATATAAATTATGTAACTCTTAATCAAAATCATTTGGTCTGCATATAGTTTTAAATACAGTAGCAGTATTTTAAAATTTAATACTTCATGTTTTTACATTCATTTATTCGGAGACTTTAATCTCCGAATAAATGAATGTTTTGTACAACTGGCAAAACTTACCCTCCTGAGAGGCACTTTAAAGCATATGATTCTGGTTCCATCAATTATTTTTCCACATGGTTTATAAGCTGTCCATCTATAGAAATAAAAAATAGTAAATTAACTTTACCTAGAACAGACACAGTATTAAATTTTGAATTGTAAGAAGACACATTACCTGTCGGGTATAGCTGGAGGCATGTTCAGATTTATTTGTACTGTTATTATTGTTTATACGTAATACGAAAATTAATGATACTTGAATAAAATATAAGTCAAGTAAATAGTTGAGTCTGTGCAGTTGCACAGACTCTACGTCAACTGAACGAAATCAAACAATATTAGATCTGTGGCAACTGGCAATGTCGCGTAAACTATGATTGATGTCATGTTTCCACAGGCTAGAACAGACATTTTGTTATAGAACGTTTATTTCCTCAATTTGCCTTTTCTACCGTATGAGGATCGAGTTGTATAAGGGTTTTGATATTCGGTACAAAATCACCAAGAAAATATAAAAAAAACACCAAAAAATCTTACTTCTGTATTTTACATTTTATTTTATACCTACAAGACATAAAACGACACCTGTATAATTTTATAGTGGCCCTAAAAGGCTTTAACCCAGCCACTCGGAGGTTATTAACCCCGGAGTCGTTGCCGGTGCAAAAGGTATTCGCCTCAAGGCCTCCAACATTCGTCTCCCTAAGGGGTGCGGATGGGGGAGAAAGGGGGTTGTTAGTAATGTGGATTGATAACTCCATTGCTAGCAATGTACCCTGTCAGGTTGATCACCACGCAGTTCCCCGTGGAAACCATCGTGACAAATTCCTGGTGAGCTTGTCACGATGGGCTAACTGACCTGACCTCATGCTCATCTTATTATCCTCCACTGGTGCCCCGCCAGTGTAAACCATTAGCTGTGCTAATGGTTTACCATTACCATACCATTCCATTATCATTCAAAAAAAAAAAAGAAGAGGGTGCGGATGACCGGTCATCATGATATTACCAATATGCTAATTTGTGTCAATTTCTCACTCTGATATATTTTGTAGTACATATTATAGAACACCAGATGGATTATTACATAGCTAATAAACATCTGCAATCCCTATTTGCTTCTTAAAACTAAAAGTATAAACAATTTAAAAAGTAACTTTTAAGGTTGGCAACCTCTTTGACGTTATAAAAAAATAGTTCCCTCTATCGTAACTATTGTCTTGCTAAAAATATAATTTCTCTTTTAATTTTTATGTATGTCTATAAAACAAGAAACAAGAATAAAAATTTATTCCGAGTACATTTTACTATAATTCTATAATGTCACTTTTAGATGGTAGTGTAATGAAAATATCACATTATTTGTTTTCTATAACCTATTTTTGCAAGTGCCTTCTAGACAGTATAGTGTCCCAAATAGCCCGGTGAAATAACCAAATTCTTGTATAAGAATATTGTAGAAACTATACTGAAAAGAAAATAAAAATCATTTGCCACTGCTTAACCCTATGGAAAATAGACTGAGACTGTTTCTATAGCAACAATAATATGAAAAGAACATCAAGTGTGATCGAATATTCGATTATCCAAAGCGTTGATTTAAAGAAAGCAATTGTTACAGTAGATTGTGGTAAATGCAAAATGTTTAAGAATACTATATGGTACAAATCTCTTCTTGGAGCAGAAAAATCATGTCTGAAAGAAAATAAGATTAAAAAAGTACACTATAAGTTTGAAGATGATAGGGAAATGGTTGAAGAATATAATGTTGATACACAAGTACTGATACGTAGAGCCTGGAAAGTGAAAGGTAAACTTGGTGGTGATGGCAAATGGAATGTAGAAATCGGAGATCCAATTCCTGACCCTACACCAAACATTGATGTTGCTGACATTGTTGAAAGTAAAGACCAGGTCAGTTGCAATATTATTATATGTATATAATTTTATTTTATATATATTTATATATTTTAATTTTAGTAACTAATTGTATATTTCTAAATAACTAGCTACCCACCCTGACTTTGCTTGGGTGTACATGTGTTATATATATAAATCTTCCTTTAGAATCACACTATCTATTAAAAAATGCTTCAAAATCCATTGCATAGTTTTAAAGATTTAAGCATACATAAGGACAGACAATACCAACTTTATTTTATACTATGTATTGATCCACATTAATATGTAATATTCTCTTATGCTAATATTAAAAATGTGTTTGTCTTTTTGTTACATTTTCTCAGATGAATCTCCATGAAATTTTATATATAGACTATAGATTGCATTATAAGGACGGACCCTTAATTTCAAAACATAATTTGTTAAGGAGGAAAATATGTGGACAGAAAGTCACTTTTAATACCTTTTCAAAGGAGGTTACCAAGACCACCAAAAACCTATTAAAGTTTTTTTTAATAAACCCAACTGTATACTGGGCTCATATATTTTACTCTCACATCCTATCAATAATTATTATTTTATACACTTGTTATATACATGTTATATATAGAACAATAATTTGTATCCATTTTAATACAACAGTGTGTAATAACCCTTACAGTAATCTAGGCTGCACCGTCAGCTACAAAATTCTTCCACGTGCAGTTTAGCTGATGATGCAGCACTTTCTTATTAAATTAAAATTTATATTTCGATAGAATTGTAAGAACCGGCCTCCATCGCGGAGCTGCCAGTGGTGTAGTAATTAATAAATATTTTTATAAGAAAATTATATTTTTTTAAATGTCCTCTTCGGCTGTGATATAATTAAAAATATTTCACCTTATTTATTTGCAATTTAAATATTTTTTTAATCATACACGCTATTTAATGAAATGTATGTACCATATTTATTCATTACTTGTGTACTTTGGTTTGTTATTAAAAAATAAGCACAGTTTCTAGGTGTTGTTATTTATGTATGTTTATTACAGCCTATAGTAACAAGACGCAATACTAGAGTTAACTTGGAATGGAGAATAAGGAATCTACCATACCCTATAGAAACATATTCCATAAGTGCAAATAATGAAGAGAAATCAATTATAGTTCGTACAACAAACAGGAAGTATTTTAAAAAACTGGATGTACCTGAACTTACAAGGCTAGGTTTAGACATGGAACAGGCCAACATACAGTCAACTCATCAATACAACACCCTTATTATTATGGTAAGATTAGAAGAATTAATATTTCATATGCAACTTTTGAAATAAAACTTCTAAAACATGACTCTGAAAATGATCTAATAGTTTCAGCAATAGGTTATAAAATTAATTCATTTATTTCAGGGCTTTAGAATGTCTTAAAGATTTCTGATATTTGGACAAAACCAAGTTTCATTCAAATACTTTTACAGTCAAAGTTTTATTGTCTATTTGGAACTACAATTTGATTAAATGTATAAAACCTCTTACTGCAGCCGTCCTGATTGTTACTAATATTAATATAGAGAATAATTTTATGCAATATTACTAATTTGTAATATTAAAAAACTACTAATCTACAAATCCTAATTTTATTTATTTCTAAACACCATATACCTTCTATTATATTAATTCAAAATATGTACATTTTTAATTCACAGTATAAAAAACCTCAGCAGCTATTAGACATGGATAAGGAATGGTATGAAGAATTGAAACAAGTGAAGCCTATTAAAGATGTACCAAGTGACTGCAAAGCACAATAAACTTTTATACTATTCACTTGTATTCTTAATTTATTTTACAAAAGTTGGATTACAGAGAATTGGGTTATTTTCGCTTACAAAAATATATACAAATTTGAATATTTATCACACTGTTAAATCTACTCTTCTGTATTTGCTAATGTTTTAATTTAGCAGAGCAAACAATACACTCTCAAAGGCAACACAATCTGGTGCTTTATCTGCAACTTATGCAATTCTAATTGTTAAGGCTCTTTCTGTATGAAATATTAGGTAATTAAATAATTTTACAATATGAACCTTTTTTTAATGTAGAAAGGAATGGATTACTTAATGTTCTTCTTAACTTTATAGAACATAAAGTGCAGTATAGTTAGGTTCAGTATGTCTATACCTATTAGGTAAGAAAAAACTGTATTTTCTCTCTACACCTTCATCATTTTAATCTTTATATTAAATATCTTAATCTTCCATTACTAGAGCTTTAACTTGTCTCTTTATCTCTTCCTCATCTTCTTCTTTATCAATTAAATTTCTGGCTTTCAAATATTCTCCATACTGTTTAGGTATACCCATGAATGTTTTAATTTTAGCTCTTAGCTGTTTCCATGTTTCTTGATAGTAATTCTTTTTATCTCTTTCCATTGCCTTGTAATCGTATCCATATTTATCCATTAAATATGTTATGAAATTTACTTGTCCTTTTGGTAACCTGAAAATGAAAATCTAGAATTCATGTATATATTTACTAAAATATAGTTATCTATACATATAAATAAAATTGGACTCTGTAATATTGAAATAACCAGTTTTACTACATGCATATGAATATGTACCATATTTATACGGTACCATACCATATTCATACACCAAAATAACATTTTTTACAATTCAGCTGGACCGATTTTGATGGGACTTTTTTCAGCTAGTAATAAATAAACATTATGATATTCAAGTCATCTTGAATGGCCATGTGTGAAGGTATCTTGATTATGTCAATAGCACTGTTCAGTATGGTAACCGTCAGGTGGGATGTCAGCTTGTTTGCCATTCCAATAACAGAAAATATATAATGAATGCTGTAATTTCAGGGTTTACTCTAATTTAAATGTTTTTTTAATTAAATCTAAGCTCACATTCCCCATCACTAATTAAAATACTTCTGATAGGTGGAAAAAAGCCCTTCCATTGTACTAACATGAATTTTCTTTCTCTCGGAGCTTTGGATTCCTTCTCCAATTCTTGAACAACATGCACTTTTCTAGGTTTCCTAGTTTTTACTTGCTCTTCTTCCATGTCAGAGTCATCCCCCTTTATTATAGTTTTTGCCTTTTCAACTTGGTCTTGTTTAAAACTTGGAATTTTTATTGTTTTGTTAGGATCTATTGAAAGACCCATTTCTCGGAGATTTCGAAAAGAAGTTTTCCTGTGATCCCAAGCTTCTTTTATTACTTTACTGGAAATGAATGAAAAAAAGCATTATGAATTATTTGTATTCAGGCACCTACATCACTACTATAGATTACATTATTTAGTACTTTTATGTACTCTATATACTACCTACCATTGTACTTCACCCGTTTTGGTTTGATTCCTATGCATACGTTTTCGGTTTAGCTTATGAAGATATTTCTTTTTACGATGTTGCTTCTTGATTTTCATATTAAATTTGTATAAAACAATCTGTGAGCACAGATGATTTACTATAAACAAGAATATATAAGTTTACAACCAAATAAAAGCACGTGTAAACTTTTCGACTGTCACAAATTTGTTCTACACAGTATACAGAGTAGTATATTCTTTGGTATACAGTGTGTACAACAAACTAGACAAACTAATGAAAGCCAAAACCTAAAAATGACATATTTCACCGCAACGTCATACATAACATTCACTTACTTGGTTCGTCACGTATCTGGAAGGTTCGCTTAACGTCTGCCAGTTTATTCTATGTGTACAATAGCAAATCTTATAATCTTTCTTTTAAGCATTAAATTTTTTTTATAAGTTGAGATAGCAGACTTTAAGTTTAGGAATTTTATTCCATTGCGAATTAGGCAATTTATTTCCTGACATATCATATGGGATGGCGTGATATGTCAGGAAATAACTTGCCAGGCTACAAAATGTCGTAAGAAATGTAACAACCTACCCGAAAAAAGGCGGGAAACGTTAAACTTGGCGGGCGCGTTTTTTCTTTTGATTTAAATTTTATACATATTTTTCATTATTTAGTGATTGTGATACTGTATTTAGTTCTTTAATATCTATTATTTAGTTTGTTTATTGTAGTTAGTATAAATAGTTAGCTGTTTTATTGGTAAGTTTTTCGTTTTTTCATTTCTATGGACGATCCCCCGACCCGGGGGGATTTGTCCCTCCGGCTTCTAACTATGTTACAATTTCATGCGAATCGGGTATGGAAACCGATACGTCTTGTTCAAACCGATCGATAAAACGCAGTCGGTTACAAAGATTTTGTAAAAGTTGTAATAAACGGAGAAGAAAAAATTCTTCAGATAAAATTACAGATTGCCACTGTACAGATGACATAAATGATGGCATTGAAATACAAAAACCTCTCACGGAAGTGATTTTCACTCCACAATCTGTAAATTTAGATCCCCCTCATCCATCCACATCTAAAGAAACAAATGAAAATAATAATATTTCTGAACCAGTAGCAAGGAAAATGTATGAACCCACAGACCATGCCCCATACTTAGTTCATGTAGTAAGACAAGAAAAATCTCCAAATGACGGTACTACACTTCACGCTGTGACATTTGGTAAATTCCTCAAAAAACAGTATTTTAAAAACATTATTAATGGAAGTGTAAAACGCATTGGACGAAATAAAATTGCATTATCTTTCTCAGTTTACCATGATGCTAATACATTCATTAATCATAACAGTTTAAATGATTACAAATTACAGGCTTTTATACCAACATTTAATATTACACGTATGGGTCTGGTACGAGGTGTTCCGAGTGATTGGAGTCCAGATGAAATATTACAAAATAGTTCTGTTCCTATCGGTTGTGGCAATATACTTAAAGTAAGACTGCTAAATTACAAAGTTGTTGATGATGGCTCTCCCACTTGGAAACCTTCTCAGACAGTAGTAGTCACATTTGATGGTCAGGTACTACCAAAAAGAATATTCATGTGTTATAATGCATTACCAGTGGAATTATACACTTATCCAACTATACAATGTTTCAATTGCTGTCGTTATGGTCACACTAAAATTCAATGCAGGTCAAAGCCACGTTGTTTTAAATGTGGTCAAAATCATACAGGAGAAACATGTGATGTTGAAGATGCTTTTTGCTGTTTATGTTCAGGAAATCATTTTTCTACTAGCAAATCTTGTCCAGAATTCAATAGACAAAAACAAATAAAGTTATATATGGCTGAAAATTGTATTTCATATGCTGAGGCCTCAAAATTGCACCCTGCTGTTACAAAGCCTTTTGCTGAAGTCCTTTCCACGCCATCAGCACATGGAACATCATTCAGCACTTTAAAAAATATATCTGAATCAAAAACTTATAATGATACTGCTTTTAAACAATCTTATAAAAAAACCGTATTCTTAAAACCCAAATCTCCTCATCCATCCTATGTTGGGTATGATAAAGTTGCCCATGAGAATATTATAAAAGATTTTAATATGCCCTCCCCTTCTAATGGCTGTGCGCTTAACAGTCAGTATAAAAATGAAAGTCAATCTAATATTAAAGAAGTTATTATTTCATTAATCAACTTACTTGTAAGTTCTAATATAATACCGTCCCACGTTGCTCCATTTATAGAAATATTCAAAAATCTACTCCATAATGGATCAAGTAGTCCAATGGAATTGCAGAAGTGTACTTAGCAAAAAAAGTGATTTAATTCATTTAATCAATAAATATCAACAACCACTTGTTATTGCACTAACTGAAACTTGGCTTAAACCTGATTTTAATTTCAAATTATCAGAATACTCTTGTATTCGAGATGATAGGCCAGATGGGTATGGTGGGGCTGCCTTACTCATCAATAAAGCTACTCATTTTTCTTCTATTTCTTTACCTCTTTTTGACAAAAACAATATTTCTATGGTTGCTGCTGTTGTCAGCGATATTTGTTTAGTCTCCCTTTATATACCTCGTCCTTCGTCTTCAATTATTGCATATTTAAATGAGTTATTTTCAATTCTTCCTAAACCTTTTTTAATTATGGGTGATTTCAATTGCCATCATCAAGCTTGGGGCAGCTCCTATTCTAATTACCATGGTGAGCAATTGTTAGGCCTTCTTGATTCCCATAATCTGTGTGTTTTAAATGACCCAGTACCTACTCGTATTACTGCTCCCACTGAAAGAAATAGTGCTGTAGATCTCTCTATTTGTTCTTCCAATTTATCTTCCTCTCTATCATGGTCTATCCTTTCATCTGCATATGGGAGTGACCATTTTCCTATTATCATTTCATTACCAATTCATAAAAAACATCCTCGAAAAAGAAATTATTTTTACAAACATAAGTTAAATAATAATAATAATTGGGATAAATTCCAAATTGGTGTACAAAATAAATTATCATCTCTCCCTCCTATTACTTCTGGTAATGAATCGGACTGTTCTGAAGCCCTCAGCAAAATTTTGATACAAGTCGCTGATGAAGTTCTGCCTGTAAACAAACATAATAATAATAAAATTCCTTCTCCACCTTGGTACCATGAATGTACTACAGCTATTAAATCCAGGAAACTGGCAGAAAGATTATATTGTAATGATATGAGTTCAGAAAACTTCACCAATCTATCTGCCCTACTAGCCTCCACCCGGAAACTTTTAAAGAAAAAGAAGTCAGAAGGATGGAAACGTTTCTGTTCTTCTATTTCGCCTCATACTCATCCTTCCCTTGTATGGCGTAATATAAAAAGATACAGATCTGCTTTCCAAGATTCTCCTTTTTTTACATTATCAGAGACTACAGCTAACGAGTTTCTAGATCGTTTAGCACCACCCTACGTATCTCATATGGATCCCATAACGCGGCCACTTTCCACCAATAAAAATATAAACTCTTCAGCTCTTGACAGTCCTTTTACATTTACGGAACTTAAAACCGTTCTGTCTCATACGAAAGATTCATCTCCAGGAAATGACCACATTCCATATTCATTTTTAGCGAATATTAATGATGAATGTATGTTGTATTACCTTAATCTCATAAATTCAGTAATGTTAACTGGGAATATTCCGTCGTCATGGAAACATCACACGGTATTGCCAGTTAAAAAACCCAACAAACCTTCCGATGACAGTAGTTCATATCGTCCTATAGCTCTTTCCACAGTTCTTTTAAAAATTGCTGAAAATTTAGTAAAAACTCGTTTAGAGTGGTATGTCGAAAGTAAAAAACTATTAGCTGAAAGTCAGTATGGGTTTAGAAGGGGTAAAAGTACATTAGATGGAATCAGTCTGTTCGTTTCAGACATACGTTTGGCATTCTCTAAAAATCAGTCGGTAGTTTCAGTTTTCTTAGATATTAACTCTGCGTATGACAATGTCAATATTAACATATTATGGAAAAAGCTTTGCGATTTGAATGTTCCTCCCATACTTTCTAACTTTATTATTAATATTTTGACGGAAAGATCCATTAGCGTTATATTGTCTGATTCTAATATTTTGTCTCGAGTTGTATGGAAGGGTCTCCCGCAGGGATCACCACTCAGTCCTCTTTTATATAACATCTATACATACGACTTAGAGTCATATGTAAATCAAAACAGTGAGAAAGTCGTTGTACTTCAATATGCGGAATTTATTAATGTATTTTATTGATCATTCTGTTCAAAAAGCGTGTTCTTTAATTTCCACTTCTTTAGAAAAATTAAAATTTTGGATGGATTGTAACGGTCTTGAATTGTCTGCGGCTAAGAGTGCAGTTGTTCTGTTTTCTAGAATGCGAGTTCCACCCCCTATAAATATCTGTTACAATAATCAGTGTATCCCAGTAAAGACAAAAATAAAATTTTTAGGCATAATTCTCGATTCTAAATTATCTGGTTTACCACATTGTGAATACGTTTCAGCTAAATGTGAACGACTTCTTAATATTCTAAGATGCCTTACGGGTGTGTGGTGGGGATCCCATCCATTTCAATTAAAACTAATATATAATGCTCTCATAAGGAGTGTTATGGATTATGGTACATTTATTTTGGAACCTGCTAATGCTACAGCCCTAAAAAAATTGGATAATATTCAAGCTAAAGCTCTAAGGATTATATTGGTGAAATCTAGTCCCATTAATGCGATGCAAGTAGAATGTTGTGATCCTCCATTGTATTTAAGGCGTCAGTATTTATCTGATAAATTTTTATTTCGTATTTTACAGTTTTCTAATCATCCTCTGATCCCTAAATTGCAATCGCTCTCTGATCTTGTTTCTTCGTCATCCTATTGGTCTCATAAATCTCTACCTTGCTTAGTAAAAAGTTACAGAACTTTTACTGCCATCCGAGCTCCCACTCATCGATCTCCCTGTCTTCCATTATTTAGTTCAGCATATGAATCTTTAACTTTTACCCCTGATGTTCATTTTGATATTAACATAGAAAAAGAACATCCTAATGTAAATGCAATGTTTAATCAAGTAGTAAACTCTAAATGGGAAAGCCATCATCAAATTTATTGTGACGCATCGAAACACTCACATACAGGAAATGTTGGTGTAGGAATTTACCACTCACAATTTCATATGATTCAGAAAATTAAATATCCACCAGAGACCTCTGTTTTTACTGGTGAATGCTATGGAATTTTTAAAGCAGTAGAATATATTAAAATTTTTAATCTTAAGCAAACTGTTTTTTTTACGGACTCTAAAAGTGCTCTTCAAGCTCTAATTAACTGTCCATTCAAATCATCTAAACAGTATCCTCTAATTTTTGATATCCGAGATATGTTGAATAGCATTCGTCTCAAAGGACATATTGTATCTTTAGTTTGGATTCCGGGTCACTGTGGCATTCGGGGCAACGAAAAAGCAGATTTGCTTGCGAATGAAGCTATATTATCTGGAGATCTTTTTCCTATAAAAACTTTTGCCATGATCTGACTGCCTTGTCTAAGTCTTGTCTTCATGATTCATGGAGTCAAGATTGGACAATAAGTAGCAAAATTAAAGGGAAACAGTACTGTTTAGTCCAACCGTTTATAGCTCTTAAACCGTGGTTTTTCAAATTACATCTTGATAAAAGATCAACTAGTGTTTTGATTCGTATGCGAATTGGTCATGTTTGCAGCCCTGAACATTTAACAAAACTACGTATAAAAGACAATAATATCTGTGAATGTGGAGAAGATGTGGGTGATCTAAATCATATTGTGTTTTCCTGCTCCTCTTACGATCGTTCTTCATTTATAGAGACACTCATCTCATTAGAAATTCCTTTTCCTTCATCCATTGTATGCCTATTAGCTCATCCTAATCCTATAATTTATAAATCTCTTGCGTCTTTTATTTCCCATAATAACATTAAACTTTAAAACCCATGATCACTAATTCCGAGTATATTCAAAATTTAACCCGTTTTTCCATTATCCCGTCTCGTTTCCTGTTTTTAGTGGCATAATAGGCAACACTAGCCTCTTGCCAAAGAAGAGAAAAAAAAAAAAAAACAACCTACCCGCTAAAATATAACCTTAAATTAAATTCGAAAATTTGTGAGCGACAATAAATCTTTTCTGTTTGTAAGAAGCTATGCAATATAAAATTGAAAATGCCTCAAACGGGTGCAACGCGTCATCAAAAATTTCTAAAGTCTGAGAAATCCAAGACTAAGCTTAAATCAAAGAAAAAGGATCTCCCCAAAGGAACCAATGTGACCAAAACGAATTTCAAAATAAAAAAAATCGTCATCAAAGAACAATTAAAGAAACATGGACAATCTGAAGCATTATCTACGAGAAAACTTAATATCAAGGAACTCTTATCCCGGCTTAATCATTTTAACACCCATGCTAGGACCGATGCTCTAATTGGATTAAAAGAACTAGCGACGACTCATCCTGAAATTCTTGATCAACATCTTGGCTCTTTAATTTTGGGAATTACTCCTTTACTATTAAATATTGAAAAAGTGGTTAGCACCTTAATTACTGTTTTAATGTTTCATACAGATAATTTTCATTACTGACCTTTAATATTACTGTGCCTTTTATATTTTTTTATATCAAAGAATGTATATGAAAGTTAGTATTGTAAATGCATTATATCGAATTTAAACATATAAAACAGTTATACCACAAAATTATGGATTACAGCTATATACCTGTCTATCTTGTAATAATTTTGTCTTATATAACTTTTTTGTTACAGGTCCGCCATGAATCTTTGAAAACTTTGCACACAATTTTGTCTATTATTAACATAGTTAAAATAGAACCATTTTTTGATATTATGTCAACATATTTAAGAAGTGCAATGACACACATTGATAGCAGAATACAGGAAGATTCATTATTATTTCTCGACATACTCCTCCAGTGTACTCAACAGAAAGTAGCTCAGGACTTTCATAAGATTTTGCCAAATTTCTTAGACATGATATCAAAACTAAGAGTAGATACAAAACCAGGTCGAGCTCTTACTGTAAATTTAGGTAGTCAAATAACAACTGTTAAATGGAGAGTAAAAGTATTGCATAGATTAAATGATTACCTTCACAAATTTGTTGATTATAAAAATGCTTCCAAAAAAAATAAACCTTTAGCAGGAGAAACTTTGCAGATGTTCGATGACAGTAAATTTAATTACTTTCCATTAACTGATCCAATGTATACATCAGTTTGCAATTTATCTTGCTCTTCATCTAAAAATAACCAAGAGACAGTTTTGTTAGATGAAGTAGAAAAGCTCAAGGACTATGCTGATACTTTGATGCCATTACTTTTTGAAACTTGGTTAGAAGTGTGCCCTAAAACAAATTCCGAAAAAAATGTAGAAACCATTATTTCTGAGGATGCTGCATCATTACTGAAACATACCCTAGAAGTACTCACTCTTATATGGAGAATTCTACATAATAAGGATCATAATTCTGAATTACGAAATTTATTTAGTCAAAAGTATAAGAAACAATTTGATCAATATTTTATCCATTCATTTCCATTTGTGACGAATGTGAGAACTAAAAAGAAAATTAGTAATTCTGCTCTTGTAGATGAAATTTCCGATCCAAAACTAGTTTTAGAAAATTTGAAAATCTGTCATTTATATATTGTGTTAAACTATAATGTACATATAAAAAGTCAAATCAGTGAAGTAACTGCAGTGCTAAATTACTTGGAAAAAATTTTTAACCAGAATATCCAAACAGAAATTAGTGAAGCACTTATAAATGTTCTGGACACAATTTTTTCAAATGAAAATAATTGGACTAATAATGTGACGATCATGGATGCATTATTTAGAAAAATAATATGGGCTTATTTTAATAAGGATATGTCGGATTCATTTAAACAACAAATTTTTACTTTATTAGGTAAGATTGCTTTGAAGGATAATATGAGCCATTTCCATAAATGTGATTCATATGAAATGTGGCTCAAAAGCTTACCTAATATTTTACTTGGTGAATCAGTCCAGATCCAAACTGTTAACATAATCCATAAGTTTGCAATACAGAATAATCAGATTTTTAATATGGTAATTAAGTCACAATTATTACCTATTATTGAAAACTTGCCTACAATCAAGATATCTGACTCAGACAATGACATGGGCTACTACAAATTGTTCTCCATTTTGTATTGGATAAAACAATGGGACAGTGAATCCTTGAACATTTTAGAGAAACAATTATTAAATCATGTATATAAAAGCGATTATGGAAAGTATATTTTTGACACATTGCGAATTAGAACAGGAGGTATATTGTAAGCAAATGTTAAAATAAAGAATATTACTAATAATAGTATTTTTATTATTTTGTAGTAATTGTCGGCCGTTTTAAGGTAATTTAAATTAGCGTAATTTAAAAAGAATGTATAGATTATTGACTGAAATATAGAGATTGATTTCATTTAAATAGTTGTAACATCAATTTATATAGTTGTAGCTGTGGTTGTACATAAATATATAACTAGCAATTTGTTTATAACCCTTAGCAAAGATTGTCTGTCGACATGCATGTTAAATTAATTATCTGTCCAGAATTTTGTCTTATTGAAATATTTGCCATATGCCTAACATGAAAGAGTCCACTATTATTCTAATACTATTAATACTATTATTAGTATTCACAATGCAGAATGCGGTTTGTAGCGCTATTCCAACATAGACATATATTTATGGCATAAATTTTGAACTTTGATAGTTTCTTATATTTACCAATTATTTACATCACAATTCTAGTAAAGGACATATTATACTATTGCCATCTACTGTTAAGATTATATTCTATTCATCACTAGATGGCCCTAGTGTGATGTTGGAAGTTGAAGTAATCAACTGACGATATTTTAATAAAAATAAATACTTTCTACGGTCATAAAAAAATGGAGCCAAAACCATTCTCTCGTAATATGAATTTGAGAGAACCAATTAATGTTGATGATTTTCTACACTCAAACATTTTTTAATTTTTTCGTTCAATTATATTTTGTTTAAATATATAAGGTGTTATTTATATGAAGCAATCATATTAAATAACGTATAAAAATTAAACAAAAAGGGGAAAAAATATTCATAAATCTTTAAAGTCATTTATTTCATATTTCAATTGTCGAACACAAAATAAATATAATTATATTTCATACTATCTGTATCTGTAAATCCATACAAAATGCAACCATAGGATCAAGGGCTCTGAATGAGGAATACTGATATAATTATTTTCTAGGTATGAAAACAAATTTGTGGATAAACTGTAAACCCACGGTGTAGGATACATATGCTTCTTTTCATCCTTTAAAAGTCCTAAGAATCGACTAGGGAACAAAGCACACTACATGATTTCAAAGGAAGTAAATTTCAAAATAAACTTTATCCCAAGACACTTGACTCATAGTCTTAAAAATAAAGTTTAAAGGAAGTACTTTAATTATAAGGAACCTGATATCATGGTAACAATATTCTAAATTAAACTAATTAAATATTTATATAACATTAACAGAAAATAAAATAAATACACACGATTATCCAGCTGCCACTGTAATTTTATGTGAACATTATCACAACACAATTCAATGGCTAACATCACAATGTTATATAAAATATGTCAGCAGCTGCAAGTGAACAGGGCTGCTCGCTAATACAAATATTCATGATGCATTTTGTAGTATAACAACTAGATTTTCAACCGTTAATTAAAAATAAAATGGAGATAAAACATGTTTTATTATCAGATACTGTGCAACATCATGTTAGTTGTTCAAGAATAGAACATTTCATGTGAAAGGTCACTGTAACATCACGTGAGCAGTTACATATTATATATATTTTTTTATTTAGACATTAAATAACACCTTTATTCACGACAGAAATATGGCGTAGTAACCTGAAGTACTTTGAATTTTGTTCTTAAATAATTTCCATTTTAAAATATTTTAGATTGTTATATGTAACTAATGGCACATGATGGATAGATAGCATATTTTCATTTTACAAATATAAAAAGTATTGTATGGAAATACCTATTTATTGGTCGATGTCAAAATTATACTAGTTTAAAACAAGAATAATCATTTTCCAGTAAATAAAGACAATAAAATGATTTTACACTATAATACGGTTGTTCACTCATTCACACATGTACCTAATGATTACCATAGCTGATATATGATATTGGTATCGTCGTTCGAATCTTAGACTTAGAAAAAGAACTCTTTGTATTTCGTTCTTATAGACAAATTCGATATGAGAGCCTCGTCGAAGCTGTATTATTAAAATACTATCAAGGACTAGTTTTTCTAACAACTAATTTCTAAATAATTACTATCAACTAATTGTTGAGTCATGTCATAATTTTGGCAAATTTTGGCTAAATTATAAATTACCAATCCGTAATAGGAAAGCAAATTGATATTAATTTGTTATGTGTATTAACTATTTAACATATAAAATAATTTAATGGACTATATTATATATACATATATATATCGCGAATACTTCACTGCATAACCACGCAGAGGTCAACCTTGGTCACATCCAATGTGCAATCTCAAGTATTATCAATTCTGATGATCTTCCCAATGCAGTAAAAAAAAAAAGAATACAGTGCAAACGATCTTTATATTGCACCATCCGGGATGGACAGTGCGTATACGTAATAAAAAAAACGTTTGCGATATGATTATTGAATAATTGAAAAAAATTATTACCAATATATGTGTGATTTTAATACTTAATCAGATAATGATCTTTTTAAGTAATAATATTTCGTAAGGTAAGAAAAACATGTCACATGCAATGCAGCAAATTAAACTCTCCATATAGGTACTGTACGACAGCTTTGCACTGATATTATAGATCTGTTACTTTAACGAATATCAAAAATTTAATACAATATTTTTGAGAATTAGGTCCTCATAAATTTAATGATTTGTGCATTTTATGCTTAGACGGATAAATACTGTTCGTCCTTTAAAAAAACATGGATGATTATATTCAATATTATAATCTCTTTTTTATAGTATGCGAAAGTTTATTGATTATTTTAATACTGAAACTTATATATTTTTAATTCAGTATTCTAAAAATGAGCGATTTGTTTAAAAATATTACAGGTCTTTTACACAATAGGTATATGAATATGAGATATTATTTATCGATCATTGATATAGTATAGTAAAATAAAAACTTTTATGTGCTATATTTAATACCCAGTTTCCTATATAAGTGATAGGATTTGTTCAGTTTAACCTGATTCTAACAGAAATTTATGTGAATGGTGTTCAAGTAAAAGTAAATTGAATAATGCTTATAAACTTCTGAGTGATAATTAAAAAACTATCTGGTTAATTAAAACGTTAATCACAGAATAATAGATGAACATATAAAAGCACACTCTCAGATTTATTCCATATTTAATTATGGAACATTCCAAATAATTTATTATCACTAAACTGCAAGATTTTTTTATATTATCTATGAAATACGTATTACTTATCCACATAGTCACATTATTAATAATCACTCGGAAATATTTAAACTAGTTGAGTTTTGTATGAATGTCATAGTGCTATTTAAGGCGACTGCCTAAACAAACGAGTAAACTTGTTATTGTCTTTCATAGACACCCGACAATACAATTAATGTTATGAAGTAGGAAGCATTTGGGTAAATGTATTATGTTTATTGTGTTTTCCTTTTACTAGATTTTTTTGCGCGAGGTATTGTAGCAGAGGCCGACAGCATTGCCTGAAAATAAAACAAATAAATTGAAAAATAATTGAAAAGAAGCACAAGCTTGTCTAGGTGTATAGTGACCCATTAATAATTTTTCATATTACTACAATAAATACCATAACATTAATCATAATTATATTCTTTGTATATATTATTATTTTTAAAATAGACAATGTAAAATATTGGAAAGCCATATTATTCTATCTGTCGTATTTAGTCTTTCGTATTTATGTGTCACCATTTGGTTTTGATAACTATATCAGCGTCCAAATTGCCAACGTAGTTATGCCAGAGGAACAGGGTATATAAAAAACAAACCACTATTTAGTACCTATTAGTGTTGTGAAAAGAAATACATAGACAAAGTACACACAAATACAAATAAATACATAGAATACAAGAACGGTAATATAAGTACTATCATACTAAACAACTGGAAAAAAATGAAAGCACATTAATTTATGTTATTATAATAAATAGTTAATAGCACAAACTATGTTTTAGTAAATATCTATTACATAGTTTTTCTTGATAATGCAAACAGATGCCAATGTGTGTATATTAATTCCATGCCGGAATGTACGGATGCATTGTAATACATTGTATGTGTTACATACTGTTTAATTAACTCCTGCTTGTACGAATATGCATTCAGGACTGGGAAAGCATTAGACATCTGTACTTTTCGATGTGGTTGGAATTTCTTCATGTAAGGAAACATATTTATATTCCGGGTGGCTCTCTATTTTTGCAGTAATAAGTTTCTGTAAAGCATCACTTTTCTCTATAATGTCTTGAGAAATAATTTCATTTTCAAAGTCTGCTATATCTTTAAAACTAAGAGTATCATTATTATTTTCTGTCTGAAAAGAATCAGAATCATCAGTTATATTTACAAGTTTGTCAAGTTCAGAGCAGCTTTGAAATTCATCAATTTGACGCTCAATATTTGCTGATGATCTCCTACTACGTTCTCCTGATGAAGTCGATATTGTGTCAGATTTAGGTTTATCATCAGTTTTTTGCCAAAAAGCTAATTTACCTGGTAAGTGCAATAATTTTCCTATGCCTGAACTGTGGGCCTTAGGGATTCTACTAGGAGATTTTGATTTATGACGTCTCTTTTTTTCCGCTATAGGATTAACGACTTGTAAGCCATGATTTGTCGTAACGTCTTTAAAAGCGTTATTTGGTAGTTTATTTACTATATCAGTTAAACTTTCTTGAGAAGTTGTACTAATGGCACATTCTATTATTTTATCCGATAGCTCTTTATCGTCGTCTGGTAAATATACGTTGGGTGGTGGTAATGGTGCTTTTGCTTTACCATATTTTCCTCTTGGAGACTTTCTTTTACTCTTAGGTGAATTTTCTGGTGTACCGAATGATGCTTCATCATCACTCTCAGCGGAGTCATCATTATGAGAAGTATCGATATTAGGAGATGCTGTATTTAACTCTGTTTTACAGTCAATTACACATTCTTTTTCAATAGATTTTATACATGGAACGTCTAAAGATTCGCTATTTGGTGGATTAATATTTTCAGAATCTAGAGTTTTATTTACATCTTTCTCTCCAGTTTCAACTGGAACCTCTGTCACTTTTACACCATCGTTATCATTTGATAATTCCATAATCATTTCAGCGACATTACGTCTTATCTTAGCCTTTAGGCTTTCATTTGATTCGATATCATCATTTATATTTTGTTTTTCGTCTCGCTGTCTAAAATCATTCGTTTTATTGTTAGCATTTGTATTTAAAGGTAAATTTCCCAAAACCTGCACTATTTTAATTTGATCTCCAATATATTGATATAAAAATGGTGGATCAGAATGGGACAAGTAAAGAGGAGATGGAATATTAAAGAGAGGGGGCATATTCGCATATTCAAAAATATCGTCGTCATGTGGCTCCTCGATGATTACTTCACTTTCCTTTAAATAAAAAGGTTCAAGTCTAAATCAAATATAAGAGAGCTGAAAGGAAATAGTGTACACTAATAATGCAAGAACAAACTTATGGACAGTCGGGTAATCAAACTAAAAAAAAGATATCTAAATATTATCATATGCAACATGCATTAAAATTTATAGGACTAAGAAAGTAAGAAATTGTAAATTAATAGGATTTCTATTTATTTATGTGTCTGCAAAATACTTTTTATTTAAAATGTATAGTATTCAGTGTATGTATGTTGTTTTATATTTGAGCATACACACATACTCATTATTATCCGCCTAATATGTTACGAATTAAATTAGCCAAATTTATGTAGCACATCTTAAATCTCTTATAATCATTATCCAGCACCGACTATACCCTGACATTCAGTTCATTTTCATTACACGTATAATGGAGTCGATTATGAAGTACCATCCTTCAAACGTATAGTTGGTGAAATTTTATCTTATGGACTACAGACTAGTTTTAATCTTTAAATTCAATTAAAGTAAGCTAGCAATATTATAATAAGTAATAATTGAAATTAATTGATACTGGTCCATAAAATAATGAACTCGCCGTAATCTCAAAATGAAATTATTTTTATGCATCTGGTTTAAAAGATTTTACTTCTATATCGAACCATCGTCTATCCTGTACATTTAAACTCCTCAATCATTTTAGTAATTCGAACCTCTTTTATTTTTTATATTTTAAAGAAATATGCATGATCGAAACTCAATCATAAGAATTGATCTTATACAAGTTGTTTTTTGATGGTTATATGTCGGATCTAGTTAAAGTATATATATTATTATTTATATTAAGCTAACATTAAGTTCTGATAGAATATAACCCTTCTTCTCCATAGTAAATAAATAATTTAGCAAGGATAGAAAGTTAGACATTGGCAATATTAGTTGAACTGTTGAATAAATAATTTAATATTATCACTTATTCATATTGAATGATTATTTGTAAACATTTCAGCTGACAATAAATATATTATTGTGCAAATATTGTTACAAAAGCATATTATATTTAAACGACTTATATATAAGAACATATGTAGTGAGATGACATATTTTTATTATTGTACATACTCATGTCTTTTCCTTTACGTTTTCTAACACATATAATATTATTAGTCTACAAATATATTATTAATAATATACAAATTAACCAGTTTCCATTATCATACAGTTAAAACAACTTGTATTTAGTATAGGAATACATCAATATATAATTATAATAAGTTATAAGATACGCCAAAACACTCCTAACTTACTGTAGTGTATTATTTATTATTTCAAACAAAATGCTTCCTTTGAATTCTAACACACTTAAAACTATTTGAGGAAACATGGTATATTTTTAATATTCTCAGTACTTTTGCCATCCTGACAAAAATATAAATGCCTGCGAGTCTTAATTAGAAGATTTCGCATGAAATAAATGCATATAACGAAGGCTGCGATAATACAAATACGTAAACGCGTTCTATAGATGAATATTGAAAAGCCGCAACGACTGTTAAAAATAAACATAAAATGCGTGAATGAAAAACTTCATAGTGTATCACGCGTTATATTACTAGATTTCCATGGATATTTCGGAAAACCTTTCAACAGTATCAGCATATGTTTCTGTAAGTATCTGTAGCGGGTTTACCAGACCTCGGCTGCTTGCGGGCGTTTGATGGTAGTGGTACGAGTGGCTGGCCGCCGGCCGCGCCCGCCCACCGACCCCGTGCGAGATAAAGCACCCGAATTGTCTGCACTCGAGTATCCCGAGCTTATGTCTTCTGACGATTTTATATGACTGCAATGATAGGTAATAATAATTATATAAAAGGAGTTATTTTGCGGAACTGGATTTTAATTACTTAATTAATTTATATTATTTTATTCAATTCCGCTAAAATTAGAATGTCTGAGACCTCAAATATTCCGTTTGGAAACCTTATCTCTGTTACTGGAAGCGTTTGACCATCTTTATTGATCAAATTCCGATTGTTATTGAGTCTACACCCATATTGCGATACGGTTTTATCTTAAGCTTTATACAAACTATTGAATGTCTGATGTTGCCTTGTTCAAGGTGAAACACTTGTCATAATATGGGGGTAGATTTCGACTTCCGACTGTTGAGGTGGAATTTGATGATCAATAAACGTCGTAACGCTTGTGGTAACAGCGGTCAGGTTTCCAAACTAAATATTTATGGTCTCACACATGCTAATGGTAGCGGAAATTTTATGAAGTAAGATAATAACAAATTGCAATTAACAGCCCTATTACAATCACCGCTCACTGCTTGGGAGAAAGACGATCTTTGTAATGGACGATAACGAAATTTCGCGTAATTATAGGATAAACATGCTTCAGTGATTCAGTTAAACACCCTTAATTAATCATGACGACTTTCAGGCGAACCGCGTGGATGTCGACCTAAAATAGTACATTGGTATTATAATAATAGGGCTGCTAATCCATGACTAACAACCCTTTCCCCATAAAAAAAACTATTGGTAACCGGGACTAGTGATCCCATTGTTAACAATAGAATTTCAAAGTCTAATGATTTGTCCATAATAGGCCCACCCAGACTTCATCCCATACTCGACTGGTGTCCAGCCATGGCCATTAGTGTAAGTAACAATAAGAAAGTTTGCTTTATAACGTATGTTCCGATTTGAAGGTTAATATGTGACAGTGATTTACGGGGTACGACATGATATGTTATGGAATGGCAATGCATGGAAAGTGATACTAAAACCGTGATATAATGATGTAATATCGTGCTGCTGTCATATATTTCAACTTTGTCCAATTGGTATTATATAAAACAAACTTTACACAAAAGTATTGCTTCTATAAAATGTTACTAACCTAAAATCAGGCTCGTCGCTCCTACTGGAACGTGTGCTTCTAACGTCCACATCCACTTCCGGAAAGTACATTGGTGAGCGGCTATTTGATTCAGATGCACTGCGTCGTGTACTGAACCCACTAGAAATTATTTATTGTTTAACTTAACAAAAGTTACTTATATATCAAAAAATCATCAGCGGGCATCGTTGCTGTTTGTGTGAGAATAACACCAATCAATTTAGCTTTAAAGTACATAATAACAATTAAATATGTCCATATTTCTCCATTATTCATAAGCTATAGATATTATGTTCTGTATACTCTCTAACAAATAAATTTATTTGAGTTTAAGTCTTCCAGAATATAATAATCCTAAGAAATAAATACAGAGACATTATAAACTATACGTAGTCGATGACTAGGTTTTCATCAAATAGCTTACTTTTTTTCCGTTATAGCATGCAGATACTGCTGTTCCTAATCGGTACAGCTATCAGTAAGCTGAATAATCAATAACCGTCGCCTACAAGATGGTTCCCGATTAACATCATTCAGCTTGTTTGCCAATTGTTTAACCAATGAAACCAATAAAAAATTCTTGTAATTACAATTTGAACGTGTACATCTGTTGTACGAGTTCAAAATAGAGACAGGTTACCTCTTAGCGGCTCGCTTTATAAGTCGCGGCTCAGTCATTACATCATCCGCTTCATCGGCGCCTCTCTCCTCACGTGGTTCACACTCAGTCAAATCTGATAAACTGTAGCTCTTCCTCAGTTGTTGTACTAGACCGCCACCACCCTGACAATACAACAATGTTAATTATTGTGTAAATGAACGACTCTTATCATATCAAACAACGCCATCTAGTTCCATCTAAATGTAGAACTTTTTTACATAAATATTTCCTAGGGTATGATTCCTACAGTCTAAAAACCTATTGATATTCTGTTAATTCACATCGCCAAGGTTCTGTAAACGATTTGACGACAAAAGACGACCTATACAAGATTGAGCGACGAAATACATTGAGTAGATACAGCAGGCAGCGAAGGGCTAAAGCTCGGGGACGAAACTTGGCTCCGGCCAAGGATATCTTTTTTTTTATCTGACTGGAATGACTTCACTGCTAAATAACTTGGCAGTAGAATATTTAAATGTGACAAATGTATCAATGCCTACGATGTTGTGTATTTGAAACAAAGATTATATAATTTATATCTATATTCTATACATTAAATAAAACTAAATTGTACGATTTGAATTTACAATGTACGAGATAATGGTGTTATTTGTAACGTGATGTGTTATTTTTATGTAATAAGCTAAATTAGGGAAAATAAAAAAATACTTACAAAGTGATTGGTTACACCTCTGATGTAACTGTTCTGTTACGGAAGCTTCGTGAGGCAAAGCGCATGCAATCATTAAGGTATAACATTTTTAGCCTAAGCGATACCTCTCAAGCTTTTGTATTTAATTTAATTTATAAAGAAATAAAATGTACAAATAAACTTATTACATTACATTTATTTATCTAAAAAATATGCTAAGTCAGTCGCACATGTTTAAAACCAAATACATAAACTATCAACATTCTACATAATGCTCTAATATTTAAGTGAACAGAGTTCCGTGGCGTTTCGGCGTATTATACAGTCAAATATAAGGAATTATCATATTCGTTGTTCAGTTCTAAATACAGAGCAGAAACCAAAGTAACATTACTATATTATTAACAGTAAATTAATAATAAAAATGGGGATTGATACTTAAGATTCCTAATTAATAAAATAGTGACATTATTATTTTATGTGTCAGATCCAATATAACTTATAGAGATATAAATCTAAAACTACATTAAATTTATTTCATTATCTTTATAGTTTTTCCCAACCAACTGCTAATAGAGTTCTTAAATCAACGATAGGTTTTTGTGTATATGTTAATAGTTAACCAAAATTGAAAATATTTCGATAATTCTTTATACTACACATTTCGGAATTTACTTTCGTGTTGGTATTGAAAATAGTTATGGAAAATTATTGCTATTAAAGAGATATATAAATCCCTATATTGCTCTATTACACATATTCGATAGTATAACAAGTTTTGTATGGCATTTGAGAACAACAGTACTTTAAGATATTGATGCGGATAGCTGTGTGTGTGAAATGGGTGTTAATAGTTTGTACTTGGCTTATAATTTTATAATGACGCGTAACTATCTCTATATTCACAACACTCAGGCATGTTCGATAACTAATACACTAATTTACAATGATTAAATACGTCATGCTTGTAAAAAAAATACATTACACATATTTTTAATTGTGATTAAGGAACAATAAAAAAATCTACAGGCAAATTAAAAATTAGTATTCAACGTGGGGATTTTTTGGGTTTATTTAATATACAAATTAAATGTATCATTTATTTTTACAAGAAAAAGTTGTTAGGGTGTGTGATTTTAAATTGAATACTTTGGTAAAAAAAGTTTGGTACAGAATAAAAAAAAAAGTATAAAAATTAACATGAAAGAGTATAAAAATTGAGAGTCAATTATACTAAATTTATGATATTTAGCGTCTACTCCCTACATCAGAAACTTCAGATACTACATTAAAATGGATAATCCTAATCTTATTGCCTAAAATCAATCTGCCTTAAATCAGCTAAGGATCACAGTTCACGTAGTTCGTTTGTAATGATCAGTCGACCATCAATTCTTTGTTTTCCATGGCGGCCTGACTCCTGGTTCTGCGACCCCTTGATTTACTTCGAGGTCGTTTCTCTTTAGCAACTTTACGCTTTCGCACTACATTGCCACGACTGCGGGCCGAGCTTGGTTCGTAGTCAGGGTCATTTGCATCTCCGTCACCGTTACGAAAATCTTGGGCTCGCTCGTCACTATCCAATTCTACTATTTCTACGATGCCTGGCAAATTGTCTTCGGAACGCTGGAACTCTAAGTCCTCGTACGTGTCCTGGTAGCCATGGTAACCATCAGGCACATCTTGGCCAGTTATTGCTCTCCTAGCATCTCGATTCTGCTCGGGTGACGGCAAATTGAAGTTCTGCGTGAAGCAGCAGTGGAAAGGACAATTGGAAGATATGGGTTGGAAGGGGAGAAATTAAAAAAAGCGTGTTAATAAAATTAAAAAGAAAAACAAATTAGCGGCAGTGTAAAACAATGTAGATGTGCGGAAATAAAAAAAAAATTGCGCTGAAAATGTGGTCATGCCTGATGACAAACAGTTATAGACAAAGATGATTTTGTTTAAATGTTGTAAGATTTTAAGAGTCGGTTAACAGTTCAAATGTTATATTGGTAAATTATGAATTCCTCTCTGTTTTAGTACAATGTATGATCAATAATAAATGGAATAGTAAACCATTTAGCAGTGTTAAATGTTCCAGCATTTAACATGTTGTGGTTATTTTATATTCATTGTCAAATGTAATTTACATCAAAATTAAAGGATCTTATGATATCCATACCAGATTATAACGCTCATGCGTTGCTACAATTAGAATCATAGTTTTTAAAGATATGACACCAGCGTTACGTCGGTTTGGGTTACCCAAATCATTACAGTATGAAATAATTGTAAAAATTAACTTTAAATAGCATACATCAGAGATAGCTTAATAGCTAAGAAGTTGTTGATAGAGATATAAATACATCGAATAACAATTTCTTTGAACATGTAGTAGGCAAATTTTAAGCGATTAATTTATAACCGACTCCCAAAGACTTGAATGCGAATAATCGTCAACTGTGTATAAATTAGCACGTGTGTAAGCAAGTATTTGCAAACAGTTTAACGCACGTGTTATTTACATAACATGTTCTGTGATCAAGCATGCCACACTTCGAATATTGTTTTTGCTTAAAGTGACAATAACTCCAGTGGTCAAAAACAACACAAAATTAACAAACAGTTATGTGGGTTGTGACTAGATTGTATAATAATGGTAGACAAATTAATAAAAAATGCTAAATTAATTTTAAATCAATATTTAGTCATTGATTTTATAAAAGATATATAGAAAATATATTTAAATCATCTCCTATATTTACTGACTTATATATTAAGAGTTTGATGCTGATCAGCCCTATTCTATCTTCCAAACAAATCTCCCTTTGGGGAGATTTCATGACTCCACAAGACTCAATACCTCTATTTGTACGATATTTTTTTGATTGGATATAAAATATGTATTTATAAACTGGTACACATATTGTATCTATTGCTGAAGCTAAAATTTCTGTTTGTTACGTGTTAAAAACCAATACCCTCGCCCTGTTTAATTCAAATAAGAACTGTTCTATTTTTAATAACACTATAGAGTGCTTATATTATAATATACAGTGTTTATATAATAGGAATAAAACTAAGTCCTAGTAATATATTATGGCTACAAGATATTTCGTATAAGATCTCAATCGACAAACATTATAATTGATAGTAGTAAATATATATTTCTTTATCTCTAAAGAGCTAAGCAAGTAAATTCATTTGATGGAAATAGATAATGATAGAATCAATTTTCATCAAATAGGCTGACATGAACACTTGCAACAATAAAGTATTCGAATATTAGTATTTTTTCTACCGAAATAAGTGTTCATAAAGTTTAGAATATATTTTGAAATACTTAAGCAAAATTGTAACTTTACTAAAGATTACCCTAATTAATTAGATCAAATCAAAATCAAAACTGCATAACTTGAAATGACATACAACATGACTTTCAAATTTGTTTTTTTTTTTAATTATACATATATAATTTAAGAAGTGAATGTATCATGTATCTTATTGTTAATACTAAAGAACAGATCTTTTTTGAAATTGCATGTGTGTAATTTTCTATGAAGCATGCCATTAACATTTGGCTAAATAAAGCTTTGGACACTCACCTTTATGGCAGTCTGCATTATGACTGTTGTGGCGTAATTGACGCCCTTCGTGCCCAAGTTTAGCACGGTGTGGTAACCCTGGTCTTTGGCCTTTGCAATGTATTCATCTATTTCCTGAAAAAGTGATATAAAAATTATTATTTTCATTTCTTTTGTTTTTAAAGTTATTATCCTAATTTTGCATACAAATATATTACATATATCGAGAACACATGCTGTACATACTGCACCATCAATCTTATTATTTATTTTGCCTACTAAGTCATAATTTCTAAAGTAAACAAATAATACTTTTTAAATCAACTAAATGTTATTATATAAAAAGACACGGCGTTTCCATCACAATATATATATAAAATATTTAAATCAGCACTAAACGTTCTGTCAGTACAACATTGTGAAAATTCAAGCAATATAATAATTCTAACCTGTTCCCTTCTGCATAACGCTGGGTGGACGAACTTCCTGTACAGTATAGAGGAGCCCTTGGTCGCCGGCGACAATAACCACAGAACCAGCACAATCTTCACTTCGTAATAAAACGGGAACCATGATAGGAACACATCGGTGAAGGTCTCTGTGCATGTGAAAAGAGCGAAGACTATCCAGTACATCATCCATTTTACCTGTAATATAGTAGATACAATATTGTACTCATATCATATCTATACAATAAATAAAATTGGAGTGTCTATTTGTAACATTGAAATAACAGTTTTTTGCTATATGTATAAGAATATAAATACGGTACATACACCAAAATAACATTTTTTACAATTTTTGTCTGTCTGTCTGTTTGTTCCGGCTAATCTCTGAAATGGCTGGACCGATTTTGACGGGACCTTTTGGCAGGTAGCTGATGTAAGGAGTAACTTGGGCTACCTACTTTTATTTTAGAAACATTCCACGCGGACGAAGTCGTGTATACAGCTAGTATATTATTAAATCTTTATCGCACAACAAGGAAATTACATAAAAAGTAAAATACTATTAGTTAAATATATTCTTATATTAGTGTGTATAATTTTTATTTTTATAATTCATAAGTTTAAAAAACGATATTGGCAAGAAAAACGGTAATAAAGGAGTAAACAGATAATATAAATTGTGTACGTTTTAAGGCAAAGATGAATACGGTATTATACAGATTATAAATGGCTTGAAATTGACTTGATTTTATAAATAGTTGAACTAAAACTGCTGTTCAATACAACGATAATACACAAAATTTGTTATTTATAGGCAAAATTTATGTTGTTAATATACTGTCTATCTGGAATAATGAAAAAAAAAAGAATTTTTCAAATAGATGCAGTAGATATTTACTAATAGGATTCCAGAGAATTTTCCAGATATATAAACAATCCTACTAAATTCTCTGTTTTCTAATATTATTATTAAATTACATTCTTCGTCTTTCCTATAACGCATGCATACCGCCTGTTTAGCACAATGAAATGGGAATATTATAGGCACAATATGTACACTCTAAAACAACATCTATGGAATGTACTTTATTCTAACAACTAAATTATTTCCCAATTTAATGCAATTTTCTGCTAATATTATTATAACTACGCACATAAAGTCAGAACAAAATAATTATAGAGACAATAAGAACAACATTATTATCTCCGCTTTTGTTTATTTATCAACAGCATGTTAGCGTGTATACATTACATTGTTAATGTGATTTTATATATATGCCACCACGCAATATCAATTACGGCAGTCTAAGAATTTAATAAGAATACCATGTAAATTCTAAAAGAAAGATAATATTAAATTGTATTATATACACAATAGAAATTGTTATCTATATATGTTAAAGAATTTTAAACAATGACCAATATTCAAATAAGTGTCAATAATTAAAAAAGAAAACACTGAACTTTTAGGTGCCTCTACTATCGTATCATTACAACTCAAAATCGTATAAGCAATAGGAAGGGAATAACAAGGCAAAGGACACAACTGGAACTGAAGCGTTACAAGCAGCTAGAGCATGCAACCGTAAACAAGGCCGCTGTTCTGACTTAGTTGTGCACTATGTGTTATTTAAATTTTTTCAGATGACATTGGTATTAGACATAATCATCCTTTCACTTTACGACCTCTACGCTTTACTTAAAACAAAATAATATACTCACGTATTCTTTCAAATTCTTCGTTCGCACAGCTTTATATGAGGCGTAAGCCGGGTAGAGAGTGCCGAATACCAATCTGCAAAATGGATACACGAGGAAGTAAGATATCATCCTTGGAGTGAACAAGCCGGTCGTCACGGCTAGTACAGCAAAGTTCCCGTATGTAACACTAGGTATGCATCGGTTGAGAGTCAATCCGAGGTTCACTACGAATCGATTCCAGACTCTGCCGCTCGGTGGCCCGAGAGGGGAGTCGCCATAATCGTCGTAGCCTTCGTCAACGTTAGGATTGTACTTGACAAGTTCTCTGTTGTTCTCTGGTACTTTGGTGGCAATAACACGAGCGCATTCGGCCTCGATCTGGTTGACAATGAAGCGGACGCTGGACAGTCCGAGACTCAACGGCAAACGAGGGTTGCCGTCACGGTAACCGCGTGCACGACTTGCCTCCATGTATATAGCACAGCGACATTTGCAGTTATTTAGATAAATCTAGCACAAATGTGCATACAATTACTCAATTGAGAAGACTGACACTTTAGATGTGTGTCCATGTTAGCACACTACAATGGCGTGATAAAATTACCTTGTAAATTAATAACATTGATTTTATTAGTGTTCAATTGGATTCCTGTTGTAGAACTACTTGAGTGATACCTTGATCTCCAAATGAAGCGAACACGGCTATTTAAATAACAATAATGTGTAACAAACGATAAATTAGAATGAAATGTTACTGATTTTGACGATAGAACATTTATTATTTCGTATACATAATTGCATTATTCGCAATGTATAGGATAATATAAGGACAATATATATGTTATAATGGGAATGGCAAAAAAAAAAAATTATATTGTGTCATATTATGTGTTGCAATAAAGGCAACATGGCGCAAACTAATGATTTTGACTTGATTCCGCATATTAAGTTATTTGCATATTAAGATAAAGTTACACCGAAATAAAGAATGTAGACGTTTATTCGCGAATGTAGTCGAATTAGAAAATAATGTTATTAGGGAGCTCGAAAAATGGTGTTGTTCAAAATTCACTGGAATTTATAAACCCATCAGAATAATCGTTTTATTTATGTCGTTGACTACTATATACATAGTGTAGTATATCTATGTATATCAGACGCATAGGATCAATTATTTAAATACTCATAATTTTTGACTAATAAACTAATATAAGAGTAAAATAAATCTTTCTTGTAATTATATAAATAGTCTCGCAAATAAATTTTAATAATATACTTATAGAATGTTTATGACCTCATAATTCTTTGGCATGACATTCATTGTTTCTTTTATGATGCAAAAACTAGATCGTTTTAAACAGTGTATGTAACAAGAAAAAGAGGTGTATAAAATGTTCTACAACATATAAAAAATGGTATGTAGATATATTTAGATGTTATTACAATAAAGAAATACACATTTACAATATAAAATGGATTTTACACAAAATCTGTCCAGGCAGTTTTATTTACCGTCAGGAAAAAAATTAATATCAATCGGTCCGTATATTCCATTCTACATGTTCAGTGTCTGGCAAAGCGCAAGAGTGCGTAACAATTTAACGAGCTACCACTAAATGAAATGGGCTACACGAAAATAGAACATAACAATATGAATAGTATTGATACTAGAGACTATTTTAAACTTCCTTGTGCTGAAATTTTGTAATGATAAACGCTTTCACTGGATTGTAAATTTTAATGAAACTATTGGTAGCTATTGTGTAAAAATTTCATTCATTTCATAGATTTAAGGAAGCCATCCTTAAAACTATGAAATGAATGAAATTATTAAAACACTATGGATACAATACTACGTAAATTAAAGTTATGTTTTCATTATATTACCGATGTCAACTTTGCAGAAAATCACTTGCATTGGTCGAGTCAAGATTTAAGCGATGAACAGTGTTATTTCAGGATAAATTTGTCAAATTATCTACAACTTTATCCTGAGATAAAAAATCAAATTGAGAAACGTCGAAACAACCAGAGAATACAGTAGGTACAACTAAGTGGATATAAAAAGATGCAAGAGGGTGCCTCCAATTCAGCGAATGATGATAATAAGTGGGAGACATCGCTAGCTTGCAACAACAATTTAAAATGGTCTACCTCGCTCTAGATTGGACAAATGGCTAAGGTATTGATAATAAAGACTAGTCTACTTGTATAGTGGCTGGCACTCTGGACGACTATAAAAATAAACAAGTCAATTGCCTGTTAAAGATGTATGAAGTATATCTACAAATGTATCTATTGAGAAATTGCTAACATCAGTGCTAATTCCATTGTGCGTGTAGAACAATGATAAGTTTGTTTACGTTACTATGATAGTGGCGATAACAAACGCTTTTAGCATGATAGTGTTCTATAATAGCACAGGCACATCATATCTATCATCATCTATGTCATATATATCATCATCATTAGCCTTTTTTCATACAGTCCACTGCTGGACATAGGACTTCAAAATATATAAAAATATAATAATACAGAAATCACATTTTGCAATTACATGATTGAGCACAGACTCAAATCACAGGTTTCCCATTATATTTAATTTTTATTTTGTTTGGAAAAATATTCTTACATTTAAAACATTATCCACGAAATTTGGTCCAACATTTCAATTTTCTTTTGAATGGGTAATACTGTTTTTAAAAAGAAGAATATTGGCATGCCTTCTAGCTTGTAATAATAAATATAAAGATGTGATGATAATTAGATTGTATTTTTCATAACAGAACCTATAAATATCGAACATCCAACTGTACATTAAATACATAATACTATATATATATATATATATATACATAATAATTTAAAATATATTATTTTTGTGGCGTTATTAATTACATTATTAATTGTGAAACGCATTATAGACAAAACTGGGCCATATGATGAGGAAGTAAGCGCACATTTATGTTGTTGTTCTGGCCTACGGTATAGTTTCGCAACTACCTATAATCAAAGCTTAAAATAGGCGAGGAAGATGACCCATTTACCCTAACCATGCCATAAACTCATGTGTTATATTAATGTTTACAAATAAGGAACGATTAGTAATCGAATATGTCCTATAAACTATAAATGATGAAATAAAAGAACGATTGAAACAAGTAATAAAGTAAAAAGGTCCAACCTTGAAGGGAAAGGTTAAAATAATAAAAGATTTTAATAAACGTATTACGTTCTGAAACTTTTATTAGGGCATACGATAACAGTAGGTATACTAAAGTAAAAATACCGTGAATGACGCAAACCCTGCCAATGAAGCGTAAAACTTGCCCATGTGTGAATAAAGTAACTGCATTGAGTTCCTAATCAGCGATTCAATGAACTAATAAAAATAAATTTATCCGTAGAGATAATATGATGAGAGATTATATTTAATAACAAATATAGAAGCGCAACATTAAACAGTTCGTTATACTTTCCTGTTTCATAAAAACTTTGTTTATTTTCCTGTTCTTAGTGACTTGACTTTTTACTTAATCTTGAGATTTACTCAAGATTCTTAAAACTATTCCGTGGCCGTGTTTATGATTTTTTCCGCAATGGCCAAATAGCATATAGGTCAAGAACCCAGATATGCTGGCCAATGCACGATGCATTCAACAAGCATCTCACGCGATATTTTTTTATATTTGTTCTGTTTCACTCATGTTTCAAAACAGGAAGGTTGTCGACCGATTAATCCACATTGTTATATTTAATTATAGACACTATTATTATAAAGAGTTGATCCGATTTTAAAAATTATTTTAGAGTTGGATGGCCAATTTATCAAGGAATGATAAATAAAATAACGCGATGAAATAGGAGCAGAGCTGCAATGAAAATGTTAGCAAAAACCGGGAACATGTGACGAAGTTGCGGGTAATCTTAATAATATTATATACGCGGAAGTTTGTTAGTATGGATGGATGTTTGTTACTCTTTCACGCGAAAACTACAGAATGGATTTTGATAAAATTTACAGTAAAATAGCTTATACATCAGAATAACACATAGGGCAAAATATAATCATAAATGTCAAGTAAGTGTGATGCAGACCAAGTTGCGCGGTTTATCTGGTTTATCATAAAAGCATTAAATAGATATTTACGCTGAATTCAAGAGCAATATATATATTTTAATATAATTCAAATTAAAAATATCAGATTGTGTGATTTAACTAATGGAATACTTTTTACATTTTAAGTATGTTGCGTAAGTGATTATTTTTAAGCAGGGCCTGACGTGAAGCAAAAAAAAAACAATATAGTCCTTGTGTTAGGTAGGTGCACTAGACAACTTTTAGAAATACTTAAATGCATTTTTTAATACATACACAATAAAAATTCTTACAAATACAAACATACTCATTTGGATAAATATTTGCATGGTACGAGGCTTCGAAACCGCGACCAAAGTAACCGTAAGGCGGTATTTTACACCGTTGTACCACCAAGGACGTTCAATCTAAATGAAGCATTGTCATCATTAGGATATCAACAGTTATTATAAAATAATGCAATGCAATATTTTCTCAAAAATTGTGTGCAAAATATACGTTGTTTGAAATTTTCTACAAATAAAAGTTTTAGCTAACCGTTAGAATATTTCACTACTGATGATGGAAAAACTTATAGTTAAAGTAAATATTATTTAACTCTCGATAATAAATATTTTTTAAGTTCGATGTTAAATGTACATACCTGCTGTTTCATAGTAATATACCTTTGTTTGGATTTCAGAGGTTATCTATTTTCATATGAATCATGATGTGTTATATGTTACCAATGCCATTTACAATAAGAACGACCCATTACATACAATTATTAGACAATTCATTCATTCATATGATTCATATTCATCAATAAAATGTTTATTGTGCAAAAAGAAATCCACTACTATTAAAGGTATTTAATTATATCTATGTATTGCAATCTAGACAATTAAAATTCTGACGTAACACCTATACGTATTCGGTGCAGCATTTAATTTAATGGTTCTTAAGATATAACCAATAATACACGTTTGTCAAAAGAACCAAGTATACGAATTAAAGCTTTAAAAGGTTGCAGTATAAGCATTAAGATTTGTGACTCAAAAATTTACTCAGTAAACTGGGTCAATAACAATACATTTTGTTACGCAGACAACGCTTTGTTCAGGTACAATAGTGTTCGATTACTATTAAAAATAAATTCGATGAAAACTAATCATCAATCATACAAATAATTTCCAAGAACAATATTCTAGAATTCAGTTTTTAAACCACAACACAACACAATGACTATTGACAGGATAATCAACTGTAATAAAATATACGTCTATTAAAATTGTTGTTACAGAAAATGCTTTCAATTTGAGCTCATATTCCGATCACGTAAAAATAATGCATCCGGTTGCATTCTTTCACTAACTGTTCAGTTATCGTTAATTTTAGGTTCAGGAATTGTGTAAAAATGACACTTGAAAAACAGCCATACGGAGTACTACTGTTTTGTTTAATACATATTATATATACAACTTTGTTACTTGCTAGGTGGTTCCTTTCAAATATACAGCACCCGCTAGTACCTAACCCTAAACGCAAATAACTGTAGTCTTTTGTTATTAATATCCTTCAGTAGAACATATCCGATATTAATTCCACTTTTACAGTTAATTTTTTAACATTTCTTTTGGGACCTTATATGTATAAAATCACAGCGTCATTTTTTAAGTTCCACCTTAAAACTAGTTTTTATATGATTATCGGAATTGTAGCACAATTATTGGTTATAAGAGTTAACTGACTTGATAAAATAGCTAAATAAACAGAACCTATTGGGCCGTAACAATGTATTGAGATCTAGCTTCTTTCGAATTGATATTTATGGTTTATGATAATGTTTGTATTTCCCTGTTTTTTTATGGATACAATTATTTTGTACACTTACATATTACTAGATGTCTTACATGTTTATATAGTTTGACTATGCTATGGTCTACAGTCAAAAATAAATATACTGACCGAGTTCGCAGAGGTACATACAGTCATTTCGATTGCAATGTTTATGTATACACTACACATAACCATTTGGCCTTAGATGGATTGTCACCTTGTTTACCATTTTTAGCCTAATGGTATAATAACATGGATAATTTTTGCCTTATATTAATTAGGTAACAAGATTAATAGCTCCCTCGTAATGTAATATAATTCTTGGAAAATCATCATAATAATCTATAATGCTTGCTAGGAAAGTTCAGCATAACCCCAATAGCGAGGTAACTTCCTGTCTATTGTAACAAGCGGCCAACCGTGCGGGCACCGGTCTTCATAATTACGAATTCGTCATTGTATATTCAATTATACACGTTTAGCAACTAGCCTAGCACAAAATAGCGATATTTTATTATTTATAGAGTGTACTCCATGATAAACTTTTGGATATTGTGCCAAATATTAAAAGTAAGGGCGACAAAGAATCATTTTTGTGATGCTTATTGGCATTTGATTTAAAAGATATTAAAGGTTCAACATTTTATAGATTATTATTATAGCATATGAATTCAAAGAATCAAGAGCAACAAGACCTACAACAGATTTTCATAATAAAAATTTTATTCCAGAACTAAACACGACACAACCACAATACTTATTTTAATTACATTAAGTATTATTTATGCCTATATTTAATTCTATTTATACAGGATTAAATAATTTAAACATTTCACTGCAGGATTAACATTTGCCGTATGGGCGGGCGTCATGAAGTAGAGTAATTATGCCATAGCTATTTTGGCGCGTACCCTACATCGCTGGTGTTTATACTATATTTATACACGATATCATGAATATACATACAGACACAGATACAGTTTCAGTTTTCAGTAACACATAACTGCAGTATGAATCATTCCTCAGTTACCTTTATAGTAGTGCATAACTCGGTAACTTTCTGACTTTACTTAACATTGAATTGAATATGGCTGCCACCGATTTCAGAAATTCAAGTTCTGAATTCGACTATTTTCTCATAAGTAGTAGTAGCTGTCAATCCTGAAAGGATTTTGATAATTTTTTTGCCTTCAGTATAAATAACAGCTATGTTGTTCTTATATTAGTACATGTTATGTTTTAATAGAGAAAAAAATATTTTGTATAATTGTTAATCTTAACTATGTATTGTCTATATATAAAAGTGTAATTGCTAACAATAAAATAAATGATTTGTATCTAATTCTCATTCAAAATTAATATCACTAGCATTATTACAGTCTGGCAAAATGAAAGGTAAAAATAAAGACAATAATTACACAGGAAAGCATTATAATTTTAGGTACAGAACCCTTATATATAAATGACAACTACATGATCGTCGTAATAAATGGTTATTCGTATGTCAAGTTTTGTCCGTGAAGACATTTAAAATACAAGGCAATACGTCACTCGCAAAACTGGGTAAAGGTATACGTAATTCCGACGAGGCTACACCCAAAAAGGCAAGACAACCAGTCTCAATAAGAACATATGTGCCGAGTCAAGGCACACAACAAGCCTGAACGGATTTAGCTCACTCGGATAGGAACAATCACTAATAACTTCAATAAACGTAGTCCGACCGTCGATAAATGAATCACTCTACAGTTAGGTGTCAACGCACTTCACTTGCTGCATAGAAGAAGCGGCGCGAGCGCAAGCCGTGAGAGGCACGAACTAAAGCTCGTCTTCGGTGCACCCCAGAGGCGAACGGCCGAGTCTTACCCAAAATAGCACCCGGCAGTGCATAGGAGTACTCTTATGACGATTTCACGCCACAAAACAAATGTTCAACACGTCATATCAGGTTAACTTTCAATATAAAATATACTTGTAGATGTGGTCTTTGAATGTTGTTAAATATTCTAGGAAAACTTAGGCCAAATCTTGGCTCAGTTGATTGTATAAATATAAATAAGAAATAATAAAATAGACACAACATTAGTTTGTAAGAAAGCTAGTCAACGTCTGAAGGCGAAAATAAGAATAAAAAGTCCCAGCCATACCACAGTGCTGCCAAAATATTAGAATGGCACATCCCAAGAACAAGACTATTTGGATCATCGCCAATAGTAAACTGACCGGCAGTTTGAGATATGTTGAATGTTATCAAGATAATTCTTTAATTATAGGGAAATGATGCTGTATGTATCTTAATGTGATATGACTTCTCTATTCGAATGCTGGTCACTGTACTTTAATATAATCACACCATGGAATAAAATAAAAATAAACATAATATAAGCTATATTAAAAATTTATATTTTATTACCCCACATAATTAGTAAATGCAGATTCATAACAAAGAGAATGGAGCAGACAACTTGAACAAAGCAATTCTTCAATAAATGTTGTTCAGCACTACATTTTTAATTTCGTGTGAATACCAACCAAACAGTAAAATTAATAGAAATTGATAAATAGTAACTTGTATAACATAGATGATAGGAACAATGAAGTAGTTATAGTTATCAGAGCAGACCAGTTCCTACAAACAGTATCCATTCACAAGTAAATTGGTGATATTTAAAAATAATGAACAGCCAGAGTTATACTCCTTTAGTTAATATATTCATGTTAACTTGATTTATTTAGTTTTTAGGTAAGGTAAGAAGTCATTCATATTTTGCTATTAAACACTTGAATGAGTCTAAACAGTTGGAAGGCAAATATGGAAAACTTATATTTTAAAACCCACACAAATTTATAAACAGATAATTATACCTACTACACCAAACAAAGTAAAATAAGAAAGTTTAATTTCTTTTTCTGGAGAGGCTTTGAAAGTTATACTCATTATGTGCTAATAATATTAAAGTTACTGGGTAGGTAGACATAGTAACAAAGGAATCATGAAACTGGTTCCCTTTTATGATATGCTTATAATATCAAGAGGCCAGACATGTATTACCATGTACAAACCCTTCATCATCATCTGTTTCAATTTTAAAACAACATATTGTGACAACGATTAAAAAGTAAGAGTGATTATGCCATTCTGCATAGCCATAATCGGGTAAATAAATCATTTAAGCAGCCAGAATGCTGCCTAAACCACAATGTTTTTTACAACTATGTGAAATGACTAACTTGTTAGTCTTCACTAAAAAGGAGTAAAATTTAAAAAATCCTATCAGGGGAAGTACTATTTAAACCACAACCAGAGCACCCTAATCCCTAGAAATAAGACCTGTACATAAATAATCATAAATTGGATAGCCTCCAGGCCTACCTGTCTAGATCTTTTAATGAGGCAAATTTTATTGGACTGCACACTCAACTTAACTTTAGTCATAGGGGGTACCATCATAGGACTGATGTTGTTACTTTACGTTTTAATGTTCAGTCCACTAGGAATATTATGAAATATAAAAAAAATATTCTAATCTCGTCGTAAGTCGTCGATAACTCGTCGTCTCGTCGTAAGGTGGTTTTATGCTAGGAAATTTAAATTACTTTAATTGTCTGAATAAATACTACTATCACTATATTTAAGTTAAATATTTTATTCAAATTTAAAGGCATATTTGGTTATGTAGTTTGGTACAGAAAATTCTGACTATCAAGAGAAATGTCAAAATGTTTTTTTGGATCTAATTATATTAGGGATTAGCTGTTGCTTATATTTAGATCAAATTTGTATACTTAAAATAAATAAATACATTTTATATCATTATTAAAATACTAAATCTTGAAAATAATATTTGATCACTGTTCGAACAAAGGAACGTCAAGTACAAAAATAAATTGGCTATACGTCACAAAGGTATTTATATAAAATTAATAAAAAATATACTTACATAACTAATCGGGAAATTATAGCCGATATCATATTAATAATCACATAAGAAAAATTCTTTTAAATAATCACAAAAGTAAACATGACAAAACACAACTGTTCAGTAAAAAGTCTAGTTCGCCATATTGCAACGAACTGTGTGTTTTGATCACGTGATCACTTCAATCAATATGGCTGCCACCACAGTGGAGCTGCCACTCGCTGCTGTTTTCATTTCAATTCAAGCGCCATCTATTATGGAATAGCCAGAAAATTCAGTTTTGAATAAAATTAGTATACTTATTTTTTTATTTAGCTATATTATATAGTTGTATATAAAAACAGCAAGGCTGAATTAAACTACATTTTGTTGCATTACATACATTTAGTTTTGGACTACACCATTTGTAATGTCGTCGCTCTCCTTTTAGATTGAAAAAATCTTTAGTATCTTTGTTGTCAGCGTCGACAGTGGTTATTGGTTCCGAATGTTCTAATTTTAATCCAGTCCAGTATTATAAGAACACTTGTAAAATCATGATATCTTAAATCAACATAAGTCTAAAATTGTTTAAAGGCATATCTAAGTATGTCATCACGTCAATATAAATTTGAACTTGCACGTAGTTTACACAAATTGTAAAATTGTACAAATTGGTAATCGTTGTAGAAACATTTTTTTTTATTTAGCAAAAGAACTAGATAGTATTTACAAAAATATTATTTGAACCTACGCGATTTTTCATTACGTTGTTATGGTAACAAAACATTGATCTTTAATTCCTCACAGGCGTACAGGTAGTATTAATAGTAAACATAGTAAATATAAAAGAAAATATTTTGCAATATGTTGTAGCTTTAATATATATTTAATAATTTTGATTGATAAGCGATGAAGAATTTTTCTTTGAAAATAAAACATTGAAAGACATTTTTTTATAATTCAAAACTTATGTACGTGACTAACAAATACATGATTGACCCAGTCTCATCATACTAATATTAATAATATATTGTATAGTATATATTGACATAATGATTTAAATGTTCGTAACATTAGTAACTGTAATCCATAGTAAATGCAGTTTAAAAAAAATTAGGTTAATAATGTTGTTGAAATACAGAAACAGTGCCATCTACCAATATTTTGTGGAATTCGGACGTAGAATCTACGTCGATGTTCCGACCGGTGACCGGCCTATAAACCGAACATTTAGAAAAGTCTCCGTTTACTCTAAAGAAGTGAAAGGTGAGTAACCTTCTTAATTTGTTTATTATCACGTTGCTAGTTATAATACTAACAAATTAAATGGTTCTTGTGGTATTTGCAAAATGAGTGTAACAGAAGGCTCATTTTGAACTGGTCGTATAAAATGTACGGCCGCAATGACTTTTTTTTATATTTTCCACGTAGTTTCCCTTCGCTCAACGGAGAGTGTGTCGTGTAGTGCGTTGGTGCGCTGAGTTTTTGACGTTTGTGATAGTTTTTGAAGTGAATAATGTGATTGTGTAGTTCGTTATGGCCTATAAATACCGTGAAGATTTAGTTGGCAAACGATTTCTCTCTGTGAGTGGTGTTACGAAAATTAACGTGAATAAAGTTTCCGAATGGGGTTGGAAAGCTGGTGTTATCAGGGCAGCTTCGCTGAAAGATAACAAGAATAAGGAACTTCAGGTAAAATGTGAACCATAAAAAATAATAATTAGCGTAATTTATTAGTAGTTTAATTCATCAAAAGTAATAATTTGACACAGACTTGCTAAATTTTATAATAAATAATGTCTTATAGAATTTTTCTTATGTTCTATAGCTATGTACTGCAAGCACTTTGTTCACTAAGAAAGTTTATAAATATAGGTATATAGACCCCAAGTGGCAGAGCAGGTCTACCGACACCCATATACCAGTTAATCAATTAGCTGTAGGTATTATTGGCTGCTCTCCACATTCTCACTGGTTTTCAAAGCCAAACTTTGGATTAAATATGATTTCAATGTCGTGGCTTTTGCCCAACTTCTTTAGAGATATAGGTACCTAGGTATGTACGCTATCTAACTAACTACCTGTACTATATAGGTAAAGATACAGTACACGACACTTCCATACAATTTTGAATATAAACTTAAAATCATTGATGCAGGATCTTTCGGCCTCTTGTGTTCATCTTTTTTATCAGTACTACTATCTTTCAGTTCCACTAGGTACGAGTAGCTAGCTACTTTAGTTGAAAAGTACCAAGAAACTAGATATAGATGAGATAGTCACGATAGGCGAAATATCCTGACTTCACCTCCATACTGTCTTTCACTGGTGCTAGCTAGTTATTTGGTAGCGGAACTATTCCATCATCATCCATTAAAATAAATACAGATAGGTAGTTGAACGGACTGTTAATGAAAGGACATAGATATCTTTCTGCTATGGGTTCGCGGACGAATCTCGCCCATCTCCTGGAGTATGGTATGTTATATTATCCGCTAGCATGGCACAAGCTCGGTAACGATACCTTTCACGAAAAATTCTGACTGACGAGTTCGATTCCTATTCGTAGGTTTGGTTACAAGCTTAATTTTACTCGGCTCTTGTCTCTTCTTTGGTTTCTTCGCAAAACTATACTCAATACAAATAAAGCATGCGTCGTGAATATATTTGCATCAAAAACAATACTCATTGTTTGTCAAAATCACAATCAATTTTCAAATATAAATTCGACTTATAACAACTATTAATGAAATGGTGAATGAAAAGGTCTAAACTAAATTTTACTAAACTTTAACAATTGAATTTAACATGTTAATACTTGTGACTCTTATCTTTCATTAAACGGTGACCTATATAGACGGGAACAAAACAATTCCAGCTAACTGATGCCGAATTTCATAATTCTGGGGGCTGGGGTTTGTAAATAGGTCCCAGGCTACGAGCCCTTTCCAACTGTCCGGACCCTTCCTCCCTTCGCCGTTCGCTGTCCTTCCCCCCCCCCCCCCCCCCCTGTTGGTCGTACGACAAAATTTATTAGAGAATATGGCGCCTACTGGGTTCATTAATAATATATTATCTGGAAAAATATTTATATATTCTATTAGGAATTAAGTACGAATTTTTAAATAAAACAAATTGTAAAATTGTAGTCACAACGTTTATATATTTATAATCATCACCAATCAGTTTTAGTGACAGTCGAAACTTTATATACTGTTTTAAACTTGACGCGGTCATTATTTAAACAAAATTTATTTGCAAAAAAAAAAAACGCGATCGAAAAGTGTATTAAATGTACGTAAAGATACTGTGAGTACAGTTTGCCGAGATGAATATCGAGCGAGTTCCAGTAGTAGCAACAAACGAAGACGTGTGATGGTAGACGCATATGTCTGCCCATAAAAAGATTTCATTTTCCATCTACCCGCTGCTCTTCAGTTTACCCGTGATCATGGTGGTTGAAACACTGCCGAAATATCGGGAACTCAGCAAATAAATATAAAACGTGGTAAGAACCCGTGATTTTTACTAATTAGTCGAAACTTTATTTAATTGAATTAAACTTTCGATACCAAAATTTGATTAAATGTGGCATAAACCGAAAGAGCATGCGAAAGTCTGGTTAAAAGAGCTATTACCGTCTATTTTTTCTATTTTTTTTGCGGTGCGACGACTAATTTGTAAAGACGTTTGTCTTACCGTAGAGATCTGATCTTATTGTGATAGGTATAAAGTGAACAAACCGTATGCACATGGCGAGGAGTTCATCGACCCCGCTCTCACCGCGTTCGATGCACTGACTGCCGCTGCGCTGTACGCATCGTTTCCGAACCGAACACGAACTACCTACGGGGTCTATGACATATCTATACTAAAACTTAAGAAATCTGGTTCACATACCTGCAGTGGGTCCGTATAGACTATAGACAGAATTTAATATTCACTCAAGAATTTGAAATGTGCATAATTGTTCATACGTAACCCATATATATATTTTTGGTAGTTTTATCATATCAGTAGAGCCAATCGTGAGATGTACCTACTCGTAACTTAACCTCCTGTTGTAGCTATAAAGTCAAGAAAGCATTACATGTAACAAGCCCTTTTAGACGGTACTTTCTCTTTCTAACTCTGTATAAATTTATGGTTAACTATTGTTAAAACTACGACTATGCTTATTTAGATTAATTTTTTCTATGGTCATCGCTCTATTACTGCAACAAACGACACTAATACTATTATTAGATTGAGCTAGTTCATTGGTACTCTTCTCGGTAACTCAAAACAAAGTACTGTTTTTCACTATTTTAATACTGGTAACTGCAGCTGGGCTGATGAAATTGGGGGCGACACTAGATAACTTTCAGAACAAAGAAAGGACCTACGAATCGGCTGAAGGAGAAGTCGTGCATGTCTGAGGGTTGTAAAGGTTCAAACCTTGGCTTACGATGTCATTTCGATCATCGCTTATATGGGACTGAATTAATACCTGTGTTAGTAATACAGTTCGAAATTTAATATACCTACCGTACGTTTTCTTGAACGCTTTCACGACGAATTTGGTTTGGATATTGTCCAATTTTAGCGTCGATAATCTCGGGTAATTAGTTCGTCAGTTTGTCACTGTGGTCTGTATTTGTTAGAACATTAGCTACCTACATAGTTTACAGTGTTTAGTTACGTCACTGTTTACGCAATACAAATTCTGTTCATAATAATTTATATTACGTATAATTCGAATATTCAATCAACTTTGACTATTATAAGTACCCATCAGACTGGTTACTAATCTATTCTGTAGTTTATAATAGCAGTAAATCAAAACGTCTTTATAATTAATTACCTGTAGAGGTATTTTTCGTAACTACATATGTCTAAACGTAATCTGAGGTAATGCTTAATCGATATAAAAAAAATATGGTATCTTCACTCCTTTCCCTATTTTGTTTTAAAGTATTGGAGATATTTTGCTTGTCTTGATACAATTAATTATTTTACAAACGTCTATTTATATATGTACGTATGAATAAGTTTTTAGGTACGTTGATGCAAGATATTTTCGAATGGAGATATTTTCGGAAGATAGAGAGAGATAATTTCGGAACGGTGGTCTACGAATAAATGCGCTGGTGTTTGCGAGACCACAGGCATTGTGGAGGTTTGACCGCCGTTAGTAGGAGTGTACGAATATTATGTTCTTCCTTATTAGATATTGCGACACGTGTTTCACCTCTCAACGATGCATCTGCAATAAGGAAGATAAACCTCTGCCTCTATTAAAGGTCTATAGGCTGTCTATACTAAAAGTTCGTGAACTCTCACATAGGAAAGCGGAATTAAAAATAATAATTCTAATTCAGTATGCTCACTACCCAGTGAACACTTAAATTCAATAAAATATCATCGAAATACGAAACAAACATTCAAAATGGAGAGACAAGACTAAGGCGACTGTAGTGCGATGCGCCGAGTGCCGCGTGCCTGCATCGCTTGCCTATAAATAGCCGGCATATCTTTGTACCATTGCAACGTTGTGCTCTCCCACCGAGTGAGAAACGCCAGACCAACTTCCAGAAAACCATACGTATAGTGCGATATAGTTAATTTGTTTAGATAATAGGTTTGAATCGAAGTGAAATAGAGGTACTATTTCACTTCGATTCGATACCATAAGCAGTGGGTGAGATATACGGATTCTTGAAGTGACCCTGTTCTACTTTTCCAATTTTTGCTTCATGTAAATATCCCTTGGGATGTCAAGAGTGAGCGAGTGTATTGATTAGAAAGCTCCATAGCATTGGTGCAGAATTTTTGTTGTGGTTAAACAATTGTTTATTAGAGTTGATCAGTAGGTTGTCTACTAATTAATCTTAATTAGCAAGACAAAATGAAAACTGATCAATCACAATCCTGCCGATCTTCGTTCCTATATCGTCTCTATCTCTAAGGCAAACTGTCTTTAGCTGTATCAAAATATATAGCTCATGTGCTGTATTATTTAAATAATTACATCTAATGAGTTCTAATATAACCGAATACCATCCGTAATTATTTATTCTTTCTCTATCCGTAATCATAGATCAAGAAAAGGTCTACAAAGCGTCGCGTCGCGTCGTAATGCTTTATAAAAAAATACTCTGTTAAACACGACAGTTTCGCGTTGTGGTTTTAATAACATCGCTGCACGATGTTATGTGATGCCACAACTATGGTTTTCACCGCTATAACATTACGTACATTTTGATAGTAATTGTTTAATATATTCCTTTTTAAGATTCCAAATAAAATCTTAAACGGAACCTATATGTGGCAGCTTCGTCCGTCTTTCTGTTACAATAAATAATAGGTTAAATAATGTATGTATGTAAGGCTGTATTGGTATATTATAAAACCGACTATTTATTTGACTTACATGATCTGTATTTTTATGTCAACAATAAATTAAAAAAATATTGATTATGATTACAATAATCTTAAATCTGTCAATATCAACTTTTATCACACCGATCTATTTTTCGAGATTGCGTCAATATTTACTTGAACATTCAAGACAAGATTAACAAATCATATCGTACACACTTTTGTATGATTGGCAATATAGTTCAGTAGCTAACTAAATATAGATAACGTAATTGTGGGTTACATCAGATTCATAAGCACCTGATTTATTTATTGCAATGACCCATATTTTA